AAAGGTATAGATATTTTGGGAGATTGGTTGATGAAGGTAACAAAAAAAAAGAGAAACTCTGACATCAGTAATCTAGAACACAGTTCTGAATCTGGAAATAGGTGCTTCCCCATAGGGCAGCGGTTCTCAACCTGTGGGTTGCGACCCCTTTGAGGGTCAAATGACCCTTTCACAGGGGTCACCCAATTCATACCAGTAGCAAAATTACAGTTATGAAGTAGTAACAAAAATAATTTTATGTTTGGAGGGTCACCAAACACGAGGAACTGTATGAAAGGGTCGTGGCAAGAGGAAGGTTGAGAACCACTGTGGTTTCCAAGGCTGTCGCTTTAAGGAAGCACACAGCTGCAGCTTTCTCCTCAGAGCAGCCTGTGGGTTTGAACTGCTTTCCAGTTAGCAGCGGAGCACGCAACCATTGGACCACCAGGTCTCCTTTTGAAACGTCAAACTGGTTATAAACTGAAGTTCTAGCATGCCTGTAGCCTATCCCATTTCTTGGAACAAGGACTCATCAAACATTGATTTAAGTAAGTAAATAGTTTTATAAAATTGCTTATGTTTGTTCATTTTTAATGCTTGTTGTTAATGGAATTTGGCTTGTATCTAAAAATCATTTAGGATAAGCTTATTTTAAAGTTTTTTTCTTTCTTTCCAATTTCTCTGGAATGATTTCAATCGTAGGAGATATAAAGAAAATAGGGAAGTTAAATAACTGAAAAACTTGGCATCCGTAGCTACTGTGCAAATGAACATATACATTTTCCCCTGCTGTTTTTATGTGGTATGCCGTAGCTAAAATATAGGCCAGCCCTGATGGAGTTGTTGATATGAAGGCATCCATCCAAACCTGGCAAGGTAAAGAGGGAAGCACTTTCTGGTTTGTTTGTTTATTGAACTACTGTGGCAGCCAGATGTTATGTCAGGTTGCCCTTGTGTGACTGTGTAGGATGGAGTCCAACCTATCAATGAGGTCACAGCCTGATGAGACCTTGGGACAATGGGTTTTTTATGAGCGATAGTGAGGACTGCTCTTTCTCTCTCTGCCCCTTCACCTTTTCCTCCCGGGGTTTCTGTGTCTGCCTCCAGGAGCGGCCCCATGTGGGTCACTGACCCAGGGCCTGCCCCATGTTCCCATCCACAGTGGGCACCAGTGACTCTGAACCCACCCCCCAGCCTGGGATCCTCCCGTCCCCCACTTCATCTGACTGTGTCATTGGCCTGCAGCTATGTGAGTCTGAAAAGGGGTCCAGCTAGCACTGGACCCATGGAGTTGAATTGGACCCAGTTTGGATGCCTTCTTGATATAAAATTATGTCTTGACATAACTCTTTCGTGTGTGTGTGTGTGTGTGTGTGTGTGTGTGTGTGTGTGTGTGTGTGATTGGTTTTGTTTATCTAGATAACCCAGACTAACATCACTTTTCTTCACATGTTTGTGAGCGTAGCTAATGTATTATTACCTTCATATCCAAAGATTGATGGCACGGAAGTTTTTAAAACCTAGAAAAGAGTAATTATAAATTATTTCAAATGTAGTAAATAGAATCTATGGTTAATGGACCTAATTGATATAATTCATTGGAAAATAAAATAGATCTTGATATTTTAGTCATTTTAAGGAAAATTTTAATAAAATTACCACAATTTTGAAGTATTACTTACAAAAGCAGTGTTCTCTTTTCTATTTGTTAGTTCAAGTGCACATAGGAAAATGGTCCTAAACAAAGAATGTTCGGGTAGTAACAAACATTTTGGATTAAAAAAAAAAGCAACAGAATGGTTGCAGTACAATAAATACTTTTTATATGGTCTTCCAAGTCAGGGTTTTGTTAACTCCCACAAAATGAGTGGCTGAATCTATGCAAACGGTAATAGTCTCCTTAGGCAACTGATTAGTTAGTCATGCTGGTGGGAAGATGATACCTTGACATTGGCCAAGTTTTCTTACATAAAGACCAATCCCACAGAGTTTGAGGGGGCACCTCACTATTGTCAAAGGCCCTTCAAGGCCTAGTGATAGAAGAGAAGCCTCAGACAGCAGGGCAGTCACCGGAGATGGTGATGACATGAACACAGTGTGCCTGCTGCACGACATAAGAATGGATGCAGGCATTGCCCCCTTGAAAATGTTATTGCTTACTTTCTGGTTTGTATACATAATAATAATGGCTTTCACTTTACCAGCACTGTGTAAGTCTTGCCTCATGGGTCTGACTTGATGACAGATGAATGTATCACTCATGCAACAGTTGATTTACAGTGTGTGTGTGTCTCATTCTTAGCAGTGTTATGATTTGAGACACAGCCGGTCTGCATGTGCAATGTAGACTGACAGATATACGCATACAATGGTATATTTGGTGTATACATTTTTGATCATTCAAGCCAGCCCATTCATTTTAGGAAAGTGTGGCTGATTGTTAAAGGTAATTGAGCATTATTAGGAAGTATATTTAATTAATGAATGTATGGTATCCTTGAAATGCTATTGAGTAAATGTGACACCATGCATTTCAAATAATTCCACTTGCAGATGCTTATACTCTGGTTCTCAGGCCTGTGTGTGACCTACCTTTATTAAGAGTGAAATAGTCATACTATCTCCTTTTAAAAATTGCTTTTTATTCATGTTTTGGCAAATATTGCCCCAAGTTTTGAAGGCTTTCTATTTGCAAATATGTTGTTTCATGAACAATGACTCTTGCTTTTGGCTTTATGAGATGTTTTACAGCTCTACGCTGAACACACTCAGTGTTGCTAAACACACCAAGTCTCAAGGGAAGAAAGTGGGTGTTTTGCACTTATTTTCACTGATCTGCAGATCTTATTTTGTTTTTTTAATTTCAAAAGTTTTGATGAACAAAATAATGAAAGAATAATTTAAAACACAGTTCTCAAGTTTTTCATCACAGTATATTGGATCCTTGGATGTCACAAATGTTTAAGCTCTTAACTACTTGCCGAGAAGGCTGGTGGTTCAAGTTACTCAGAAAGGCTTTGAAGGACAAGGGTAGCCATGTACTTTAGCAAGGTCACAGCCTTGAACACTCAGGGGAGCATTTCTACTCTATGTGCATGGGGTCACTCTGGACTAAAATCAACTGGACAGCAACCAACAACCAGGACAGTTTGGATCCACTCACTTTCCATTCGTACATGGCAAGGGGGCCAGGCATTTTTACCTGCTAAGGTTTTCAACCACTTTAAAAAGATAATCTAAAAAATAGAGTATTTAATAATAAAAGGATGATGCTTTTTATAAACTGTTAAGGAACGTGACGTATTGTAATATTGTGAGCAAAAAGTTAAGTTTCCATCCGTTACATACACTTGGACTGTGATCCGCATGGTCAGCAGTTTTGAAATCAGCAGCTCCCCGAGAAAGACTGGGCTTTCCACTCCTGTAAACAAGTACAGTCTAGGAAACCCACAGTGGGTCGCTATGAGTCAACATTGATTCGAAAGCAGTGAGTTTGGTTTTGGTATATTAGTTACAAACGTTATACTCCTGGAGAGTATTTGCTGAAGAGCTGCTGAGCGGTCTGAAGAAGAAATCAAAATGACCTGGTTTCCTTGTCTATTGTGAAAGGTCCTCCTCTATGTCAACCAGGTGTGGATGTGACCTGGTGGCAGACCAGAGAGGAAGAGAGAGAGGGCTGCCAGTGCATTGCAGTGAGTTTGCAATCCATTCCAGCTCCCAGGCTAAGGTGGTATGAAAGGAGGCAGTGGATCCATCCCCTTCTTCCAGCCCAGCTAGGGGCAGATGGGGCTGAGAGCTATTACAGAAATTCCAGGGGGCTGCCCAGTGGTGGTGGGGAGGGAATGTTGTTTTAGAGACTAGAAGGGCAATAGTCCCTCTCTTTAGAGCACTTGGCTGCCCGGGTCTTTTATGCTCAGTGCAGCTCGCTCCCTAGTGGCTTTATCTACGGAACATAATGTAATGTTCATTAGCAATCACTTCTGAGGGCTGATTGCTGGGGTGTACGAAGACAGAAACCTCCAATCTCGACCACGTATGTCTGCGATAGTGAATCTTCTATTTCCAGGTGTGAGCACATATCCGTATGTCTGTACATTTCATTTCCATCCCTTCTATAAGTTTTCGATCCGAAACTTACTTCTTCATCCAGTCCTACATAACGTAGCACAGCGCTTCGGATCCCTATGTCCAATCTGGGGCGGTCCAGCTCGCGCTCACACCGGCTGGGGAGCTGTGGCTTCGGCCCACAGCGCAGGGG